GCTGCCTTGGAAGAAGTTTCTTAGTGGTAGAGATAGCCATGAAACGGTTTAAGATGCTGTAGTATCTTAAGTGAACACTGTGATTTGAGTCATAGCAGAAGAGAATCTAACTTAACTTTATTCATGTTCAGGGCCATTAATAAGTAATCTGGGTTTAAACAGATGCCTAGGTATGGACAAGAAGAGGAGGAGAATGCTTTAAATGTCAGAGTAGCATGCGTAAAGGCCAAGGAATTTATTTATTTATTTTTAGTTTACGTGTATGAGTGTTTCACTTGCATATATGTATGTACACCATGTGCATGCAGTGCCCACAGAGGCCAGAAGAGGACATGGGATCCCCTGGAATGGGAGTTAGAGACTGTTGTAAGCCACCATATAGGTGCTAGGAACCAAACTTTGGTCTTCTACAAGAGCAACAAGTGCTCTTAACTCTGAGCCATCTCTCTAGCCCCTAAACCAGTTATTTTAGCCCAAGTATTCCATGTTTTGTAAATTCAAGTAAGAGACAATCATCAAATTATTTGGTAACCACACACCCTACTGTTTACCAAGGCCTGTCCTTGGAGATGGGCTTAGGGAGCTAATTAGTCATTCATATTGACATCTCAGGGAATGCCTAAGAAAGTCATTAAAGCTGGGTGTGGTGGTGCATGCCTTTAATCCCAGCATTTAGGAGGCAGAGACAGGCGGATCTTTGTGAGTTCTAGGCCAGTGTGGTCTACATAGTGAGTTCCAGGACAGCTGGGGCTACAAGGAGACCCCGTCTCAAAAAGAACAAAAAAAAAAAAAAAAAAAAAAAAAAAAAGAAAGTAATTAAAGAGGTAAATGACAAATATAGTCTCCATTTTTGGAAAGTAGTAAGGACCTAATTAAATAGTAATTATTGTATAATGGGAGCAGTATTATCATAGATACATACCCTAAGAACTAAGAGAACAGATAACTAAGGGGCAGTTAACTCACCTAGGAGAAGTATAACTATACAGAGGCAGTGACTTCAACAAGTAGGGGGAAATATTTCATATGGAGCATCTTATAGAAAGGCTTGGAATATGAAGTGCATGCTTTGCTCAAGGGCCTGAAGTGACTTGAGATGTTTCCTTTTTCTTTTTTAAAATTTATTTTTTTATTTTATTTTATGTGTATGAGTGTTATGGTTGCATTTATGTAAGTGCACCCAGGTCGTGCAGAAGAGGGCTTCGGATCCTCAGGAACTGTAGTTACAGTTGGTTGTTAGCACCTTGTGGGTGCTGGGATTCAAACCCTAGTCTTCTGCAAGAACAGCCAGTGATCTTAACTGCTGAGCCATCTCTCCAGCCCCATGACTTGAGATTTCTATAGCAGGGGTTAGCTGACAAGAAAAGTCTCTGTAACAGTTACTCATTTCTACTTTTGTAGTATGAAATTAGCTATGGATAATGTGTCAATGAATTGGCCTCCTTATGTTCCCGTAAAATTTTATATACAGGGGCTGGACACGTGACTCAGTTGTTATCGAGACATGTTTGCCTAGTATACACAAAGTCCTGAGTTTGATTCATAGCACTACATATACTGGGTATGGTGATACACACATATAATACTAGCACTCTGGAGGTGGAGGCAGGAGGATCAGAAGTTCAAGGTCGTCCTTGGCTACATAGCAAGCTTAGCCTGGCATACAAAACTGTCCCCAAACAGATAAATAAACAAAAAGCAACCAACTCTTCCCAAATTATACATACAAAACTGTCTCCAAACAGATAAACAAAAAGCAACCAACCCCACCCCCCAAATTTTATATATATATAGTATGGGCCAGGCATGGTGGTGCATGCCTTTAGTCCAGCACTTGGGAGGCAGAAACTGATGGATCTCTGTGAGTATGAGGCTAGCCTGGTCTACATAGTGAGTTCCAGGTCAGGTCAACTGGGGCTACAGGGAGACCCTGTCTCAAGAAGACCAAATATATATATAATTTTTTGGTCTTTTTGGTCTTATTGGTCTTAGCTGAAGAACTATTGGGCAGCTGATTACTGCTGGATGCGGAAGAACTGATCTTTTTTAAGGGACGGAATCTAGATAGGCTGACTAGACCTCAATGTATGAACTTGCACTGAGGGACGTCTGGGGATACTAACTTGACTTGATAGGCCTTAACACAAATGACAATGCATGAATTCCAGTGGGGGAGGCAGCTGATGGGAAAGGAGGTATAAAGGGGCTATTAAGATGTTATGAATGAGAGCCGGGTATGGTGGTGCATGCCTGTTGTCCCAGCACTTAGGAGGCAGAGGCAGGCTGATCTCTGTGAGTTCCAGGCCAGCCTGGTCTGCATAGTGAGTTCCAGGACAGCTGGGGCTACACGGAAACCCTGTTTCAAAAATTAAAAAAAAAAAAAAAAGTTACGTGTGAGATACACAAAAATTCAATTAAAAATTAAAAAAAAAAAGGCCTGGCTATGTACCAGGTTATGAAACTAGGGCTTTATCTTGTAGGTAATGAGGCACCATGGGATTTTAAGTTGGTGAGTTGGTCTAGTTAGATTTGTATTTCATAAAGGTCATTCTAGTGGGTTTGGTTTTGTTTTGAGACAGGATCTCACATAGCCCAGGTTCGCTTCAAATTTGCTGGGTAGTCTAGGATGACCTTGATCTCCTGATCCTGGCCTTCCAAGTGCTGAGATTATATTTGGGTACCACTACACCCTGTTTCATTTTAGTGTTTAATATTGGTAGAAATAGGATCTGAATGTATAAAGATGAGAGGTGACTGTTCTTTCTCTACCTTTAGCAAGGCTGATGCTACCACTGGGCACTGTTATTTTACCTTTGAAACATTCATGTCTAGTACCTGGTATAAATGGCATTTAGCTAGAATGAGAGTTTTTAATCCAGATGTGGTAGCTGGCATACTTCTGTAATCCCAGTACTAAGAAGGCACAGATAGGAGGGTCAGATGTTTAAGAATAGCCTGTGCTATGTAAGCAAAACTCTTGTCTTGACAACCCCTCCCAATAACTACTGAATAAATAAAATAAAAAATAAAAAAGCCAAGCATGATGGTACATGCCTGTATCTTGGGAGCACTTGGGAGGTAGAGTCTAGAGGGTCAGGAGTTTAAGACTGACTAGCTTCAAAACAAACAAACGAAAAAGAACCATTAGATGTTGAAGAGGTAAACAAGAACTGAGAAACATGTAACTTGTGGGTTCTAAATACTGAGAGGAGTGAGCCTTGGTCTGGGAGACATAGATTACATGCAGTAAGGAACAAGGTTGGCTAGTAGAGGGAAGAGTCATTGGTGCTAAGGGAGAACCCTGAGGAGCTGCTTGGATCCTGCATCCAGAGATGTGCTCCTTTTCTTCTGGCTCTAAGTCAGTGAATTCTGTTCCCTGAGGATGCTTGCTGGTCTCTGTGTGCAAAGTCCCAAGCAATATCTTCCTTCTTCTCTGCTCCCACCCACACTACTGCAGTACTGCTTGGGATGGGGTTGCATGCTTGTGCTACTGCCTGGAAGATTGCTTTTCTGAGCTCATAGAGCTAAATATACCTAGGGACAGCTGGCGCTTTGGCAGTTAGGCGAACCATTGAGCCATAGTTCTAGCCAATGCTACAGTCCTCATGGTGAGACAAAACTTTTAGGGAGCCTCCTTGGACTGTCTTGAGAGAGGAGCTGCTTGTTCTGGGCTTGAAACAGTAAATCTTTGTTTTGAGAGCCAAAAAAACTACCTGATTTTTGTTGTTGCTTTTTATTGCTTTTAAACATTGTCCTAATTAAGATTTCAGCTATTAGCTGGATGTGGGACAATAATCAGAATAAGATGTGGTAATGCTTATCTAAAATATACTGGACATTGGACTTCTAGTTCAGTATAATATTCATTGCTCAGTGTTGTGGTAAATGCTTATAATCCTAGCATTTGGGAGGCAGAGGCAAGATAATCACTGTAAGTTTGAGACCAGCCTGGTCTACATACTGAATTTCAGTTACAGGCTAGCCAGGGATATATAATGAAACCCTATCTCAAAATAAAAGAAGAAAGAAAAAAAAAAAAAACTTTTTTTTAGAAGACAGGATCTCATGTAGCCCAGGAAAGTCTCAGACTTATTATATAACTAAGGATGACTTTAGACATCTGATGCTCCTGTCTCTACCTCCTAAGTGCAGGACTTTAGGTGTGTACCATTATACCTTGCTAAAGAAAAAAAGTGTATTGTGTGTTTTTGTAACTGGATAATCAGGATTTTCTACTGGGGGACATATGGTTTGTTGAGGAAGACAAACACATAACCACTCTGATAGAGATATACACAGGAGCCATGGGTACATAGGAAAGGTCATTTTTGGTCAAGAATCTGTTTCTGTTTTGTGTCCTTATCAACCTTTGAGTTATGCATTAAAACTTTCAAGTAAGACATGAAGAAAATCATCTCCATAAAATGTTAAATTTGAAAATTCATTTTTTGGGGGGGGGTCTTTTTTGAGACCGGGTCTCCCTTGTAGGCCCAGCTGTCCTGGAACTCACTGTGTAGACCAGGCTGTCTTTGAACTCACAGAGATCCATGTGCCTCTGCCTGGCTGGGATTAAAGGCATATGCCACCACACCCGGCTACTCAAATGTTCTTATACTCAAATGTGAGCTTTCAATTTGAGGGATTAACACACATCAACATGTATACGTGCACATACTCCACACACACATAAAGAATGTTAACTTTTTTTCCCCTCTGGTGACTTATTGATCATTGTCAATTACTATCTTTCCATAATTAAAAAGCAATAAGAGGAAAAAGAATTCTAACATTACTCTTTTAAATGTGAAACATATAACAAAATAAAAAGATAGCCTTTTTGGCAACTAAGACACTGGCATAGAAAGATACATGAGTGATGTCATTCAAGGGTGGTGCATTGGAAACATGTTACCACTAGCTAGAGGCAGAGGACCTGTGTGGAGATCTTGGTGGGCTACCTCACATATATCTCTTGTGACTTACTTGCTTTTTCTTTGCAGTTCCTAAGGGAAGACCTTAATTACCATGACCCAACAGTGAAACACAGCACCTTCCATGGTGAGGATAAGCTCATCAGTGTGGAGGACCTGTGGAAGGCATGGAAGTCCTCAGAAGGTAATGGGTAGACTGGTTGTCAGTCCTAGTTGTCAGAAGGTTTCTTGAAGGTCTGGAATTCTAGCCTAGCTCTGCATCGCTCCTTATACTGCCCCCCATAGAACTCTACCAGCTCCCGTCTTGTTGTCTCCAGAGATAAGGAGCTAAGGACCTTGCTGTTTGTTCTCTTGAGGCAACCTCTTCTGTTATTCCCCACTCAGTCCCACCTCTTCTGAGTCCCAGATGATTCAAAGATTGGGTGGCAGTACAGATGGACCCTTTCCTGAATCTTCTCTTTTCAATGTTAAATAGTCCTTAATCTTTGAAGAAAAAATTTTTAGTCTTTTTAATGATCTTGATTTCCTGTCTATAAACATTTTTGTTAATATCTTTCTTAGATACTTGAGTCAGGCAAAACTCGCAAATGGGGTTTGGGCCTCACAGAGTTGAGCTGAAATGCCAACTCTGGGTTCTAGACCCTGGTCATATACCAACACAGTTTAAGTGCTGGTGCCTTCAGTGGTCACATTACTGATTCATGTTGAATTTATAAATGAAAACTTTAGATCTTTGTAATATGTAAAACTCCTAAACCATGACTACCTTGTATTTTCCCCCTAGAGCATTTTATTCAGAATTCTGAGTGAAAGACCATGTATAGTTTTTTGAGACTTGACAGGGAAGAAAATAACAGGTCTTTAGCTTCCTTGTCATTTATACCTGTGGCTAGATCTTCCTTGCATCTCAACAAGCTTGGAATCAGGGGCTTTGAATGTAGCTCAGTTCATAGATGCTTACCTAACATCTCCAGCACTGGTTAAACCAGGTGTGGTGGTACGTGCCTATAAATCTAACACTTGAGAAGTGGAGGCAAGAGAATGAGAAGTTCAAGATGATTCTCAGCAAGTTCAAGAGCAGCCTGGAATATGTGAGTTGCTGTCTTTAAAATAAATACATGCATAAAGGAAGGAAGGAAAGAAGGAAAGAAGGAAGGGAAGGAAGGAAGGGAAGGAAGGGAAAAAGCAAGCAAGCAAGCCTTGGATACATGAGTTCCTTGGAAACAGTCTCTTCCTAGGGTCTTATGGTACAGGTATGAATGCTCAGAAGGGTTAAACATGAGTGATCTAGGGCTTGTGGGTTTTGAGAGTGTCTCCCCATGTTGCCCCCACTGGCTTCAAACTCCTGCACTCAACTGAACCGCCTGCCTCAGCTGAGTAGCTGGGACTATCTAGTTTTCCTGGTTCTTAACTGAGGAAATTTTAAGTCTTGGCTTCTGGAAATTGCTTGTTCATTGTCATGTGTTTAGTAGGGCCAGGACAAATGGGGACCTTCTGATTCCTGTAGACAGTGCATTTCTTTGCCATTTGATGGTAGTGAATACTACTTTTAGTAGTAATGAGGTTATTTATATATTTTTAATATCTTATTATATTTATTTTATGTGTATGAGTGTATTGCCTGCATGTATGTAAGTTCACCCATGTTGTGCAGTGCCCATGGAGGTCAAAAGAGGGTGTAGGATCCCCTGGAACTGGAATTAATGAATGGTTGTTAGCTGCCATGTGGGTCCTGGGAATCGAGCCCAGGTCCTCTGCAAGAGCAACCAGTGCTCTTAGCTCCTGAGCCATCTCTCAGTCCCTGGCCATTTCTATTTCTATTTTCATTTAAGCTCTTACTTAGGATTTTGGAATTTTAGATCTGAGAGGGAACATGTATGTAGGTAGAGAGCATTAGATTTGTAGCAGAAAGTGGAGTCTAATCCTAGTTCTGGGGTGGAGAGGTGATGCTTCTTGTTAATTCTGTTGTATCAGTTTAGAAGAAGCATATAAGGAAATCTTTAGATGCTAAGTTCTGCCCCCACCCCCCCTCCGAGTATGTGTGTGTGTGTGTGTGTGTGTGTGTGTGTGTGTGTTTTCATTTATAGATCCTGAGCAGTTCATGCTGCCTACTGATGTGAGGTGAAGCAATGATAAGAGCTTTGGAGTTATGTTAGCATTGCCAAGAAAAACATCTTCCATCAGTACCATTTAATTTTGATTTTTCTCTAATAACAAGATGATAAGGCACCTAGGTTTTTTTTTTTTTGGTCTTTTTGAGACAGGGTCTCCCTGTTGCCCCAGCTGTCCTGGGTTCACTATGGAGACCAGGCTGGGCTTGAACTCACAGAGATCCGCCTACCTCTGCCTTCCAAGTGCTGGGATTAAAGGCATGCACCACCACGCCTGGGAAGGCACCTAGTTTTTAAGAGTAGGTTCTATAAATACAAACTTAGAATGCAAGAAGGCGAGGAGCACATTCCTGGCCTTTTCTAGAAGCTCACAGAAAAGCAACCAAGAAGGAAAAGTGACCAAGAGAAGGCAGAAATAGAGGGATTGAATCATAATACTAGAAAACAGCTCCAGGCAATTTTATGGTAAGAAGTTTATTTCTAGACTTAGCAACTATTTGGAACACTTCCAGCATGTTCTAAATTACAGGAAAATGGAAGACAATGGAGTGAGTTTTTTGGAAGTGTGTGTGTGTGTGTGTGTGTGTGTGTGTGTGTGTGTGTTCTCCATAGCAGAGAACAACATTCTAACACACCCCATTGTTGGGTTAAAAGTAATACACACGTACCTTTTTAGGACTAGTTTGCCATATGTTTTGATAGGCTAAAAGTAAAGGCCTTCTTGTGTCCTGATCTTACTAATTTGCTCATTATTCAAAGAAAGCTCCCTAATCTCCCTGGAGTGATGATTTCCAGAGCTAAGAAAGCATGTAGCATTCTGGCACTAGCTCAGACTGGCTGGCCTGAGTTTAGCTACTGATGTAGATATCAGCTTTAGTCATTTATGTTCAGAACATTAGCAGGCTAATGCCATTCCTGTCTGTATAATTAGTGTTGTTAACATTTTCTGACTAATGTTGGAAGCCAGTGTTTTTTCTCTGTGTTACTTAGATCTTAGCAGAAAAATATGTTAATCTTTACTTTAACCAGCTCTGGGTTTTAATAATAAAAACAATAGCAACTCAGAAACTACTTTGACATTTATATAGAACTTAATACATGCTAAGCACTGTTCTAAGTGTTTTATATGTTTCTTAAAATAACCTTGTGAAGCATAGATACTGTTATATAGTTATCTATAGTTATATAGTTATATAGTGGTGGTTATATAGTTATCTATAGTTATATAGTTATCTATATTTTCAGTTGTGGAAAATGAAGCAGCGATAGATTAGGTGAAACTGTGTAATGTAATTCTGTCACTACCTGGAATTACTGCAGATTTTACAAATAAGATCATGGTTCTTAAGAACCCTGCTCCCTTCTGACATTGACTGCAAAGCTCTGGGAGTTCCCAGGCCACCTGCTCTACAGTACTAACACTGCTTCCACCTTCCAACTCTTTTAATTTTTGTTAGTTACTGCTGCATTGTTTTGAGAGAAAAGATGAAATTCTTTCCCTCCCTCTCTCCTTTCCTTCCTTGAGGTAGAGCTCACTATGTAGCCCCAATTGGCCTAGAACTTGCTATGTAGACTAGGCTTGCCTTGAACTCAGAGAGATCTTCCTGCCTATAACTCCCAAGTGCTAGGATTAAAGTATGTGTGTCACCACACCCAGCTAAAAAACATATTTTAAAAATAGAGATTCAAATTTAAGACAAATTTTGCCCATTAGAAGATAGAAACCATTAAGCACTGACTCCAGAGAGACTGCCATAATGTTATATGATCACCTGTATGATCTGTTTGCTAGCACTACAGTGGAACTCAGTCATTTTTACCATCAAGTATCTATCTACTTCTCCTTTTTGTGGCAATAGTTCTCTGGGTTTGTATGAGAACTACCTTTCCCCTGCTGTCAGATAATGTGCTTCAGATAGAGCTAACTTTACCCTAAGGATAGAGTATGTAATCCAGGCAGGTAGAGTCAGTATATTCCATCCTCTGGTCCACAATGCTTGCTTTAGGAATGATTGTATAACCCAAGTTGAGGCTGAGAAACGAAATTCCTAGATCTTTGTTGACTCATAGCAGATAGACTTGTACATCTAATCTACTGGTGTCTAGATGGAATGATCCTGAACTACAATGTTGGCAATAATTATATTAACAGAAACCATCACTTATATAATACTTACTTTGTGATGATTCTTTTCTAAGTACCTCACATACTAACTCACTAATCTTTACCAACACCCCGTGAAATAGATACCTCATTTTATCTTCATTATAATGATGAGAAAACTGAGGTGGATATGGTGGTGCACATCTCCAATCCCTGAATTTGGGAGGAAGAGGCAGGTGGATCTCTGTGAGATCAAGGCTAGCCTGGTCTACGAAGTTTATAGGGAGACTGTCTCAAAAACCAAACCAAAACAAGAGATACCAAAAGGTTATATGATTTCCCCAAATTTACGCAGCTAGTAATTGTTAAGGCCAAGATTTGATTTCAAGCCAGCTGGCTTTATAGCCCAGTGTCTAAGCCATTATGTTCCCTCCATCCCTCCCTCCCTCCCTCCCTCTTTCTCTCTACCAAAAGATTCTTACAGAGCTAAGAGATGAATCTAGATGACATATGTAGGCTCTGAGTCAGAGCATGCCTATAAACTGCCCTGTCCATGCATGTTTTAGTTTTGTACAAGTTGTTTACCCCTTTTGCTTATAGAAAATTGAGAGGATTTTCTGTCCTAATAGGAGCCAATTCTAACCAAAATCATTATTGAATGATCACTCATAACATGGCAGACCACATCATCACAGTTAGAACACCATAGCTGTTCATCCCTCAGTACTATAATGTTGGGATTATTTTAAATGGACAGTCATTAAAATTATCCTTTAAAAAGATCTTTTTTCTGTTTTTTTTTAAAACTATTATAGTGAAAGTTTTAAAAAGTATTTTATTATTTTTATTTTATGTGTATCAGTGTATTGCTTGCATGTATATGAGTGCACCCGTGTCATGCAATGCCGAGGAGGTCAGAAGAGGGCTTCGGATTCCCCTGGAACTGGAGTTAAGGATGGTTTGTAGCCA